TTTGTTCTGATTCTTCCTTCATAACATGACTATTGTGGAAATATGTTTAATATAATTGTATATGTATAACCTATATTAGATTGCATGTCATCTTGGGGAGGGGGGAAATTTAGAAATCAAAATCTTATAAAAGAGAATTTTTAAAACTAAAAATAAAATATTTAATTTTTTAAAAATTCAAATAACAACTGAGAAATCAGAGCATAACTAACTGTTTTAAACTGCTTGGTTTGCAGAGAGGGTGAACAATATAATTGCATACATAAAAAATTGAACCCAAATTTTAGAGCTTATTATTAGAACATGCTTAAGGCCTGTGTATCTCATTAAAATAATTTACTTAAGACATATATAACTGTATAGAGAGATATGACTATAGATATATACTTAAACAAAGTGTTTAATGCATCCCCTCATACTCTTCTAGTAGAAAAGATTCTGGGAAGATGTGAACTGAGCAACTGATTAAGAACAACTTGAATGGTGCAATGTAGGAACGCTATGTATTATTGTTTGTAGTTTAAACTTGATAGGAGGATAGTAATCGTGATATGAAAAAAAAACACATAAAAAGTGAAAAATAGTATGGTTCCTTTTGCATTCAGGTTCCATTACTTTTTTTCCTCCAGAAGTATATAGTATTTTTCACCATGAGTCCTTTGGAATTGTCTTAAATCACTGTATTGCTGAGAAATCATTCACAGACGATCATCATACAATATTGTTATTCCTATGTACAATATTCTCCTGGTTCTGCTCACTTCACTTTGAATCAGTTCATGTAAGTCTTTCCAGGTTTTTCTGAAAGCATCTTGCTCATTATTTTTATAGAACAATAGTATTCCATTACAATTATATACCACATCTTGTTCAGCCATTCCCAATTGATGGACATCCTCTCAATTTCCAATTTTTTCCATCTCAAAAAGGAGTACTATAAATATTTTTGTACAAATAGTTCCTTCCCCCCACCCCCACCTTTTTGAGACCTCTTTTGGATAGAGACCTGATAGTCATATTGCTGTATGAAAAGATATGTAGTTTTATAGCTCTTTGGGCATAGCTTCCAATTGCCCTCCAGAATGGTGGAACAATTCATCACTCCACCAATAGTTCATTAGTATCCCAATTTCCCACATTCCCTCCAACATTTATCATTTTATCACGTTAACCAATCTGATATGTGTGAGGTGGTAGCTCAGAGTTGGTTTAGGTTGCATTTCTCTAATCAATTGAAATTTAGAGCATTTTTATATGACTATAGATAGCTTTGATTACTTCATCTGAAAACTGACTTCATATTATTTGACGTTTATAAATTTGGAAATTACATGTATTCTTATAAATTTGACTCAGTTATATTTGGGAATATATGGGGAATGCTTTTCTCTTTCTTGTTTATACTTTTAACATTTAGCACAGTGCTGTCCACATAATAGGAGCTTAACAAATATTTATCCACCAATTATTGACTGAGAACAAAATAAAGGCCTCCTGCAGCAACCTGACAGCTATTTTATCCCCAAAAATGGTTGCCTCTGTATTAAAGTTTAGGAATCAGCCATGGTTATATAGAGTTCACACTTTTATTTTTAATAATATTTATTTTTCCCTATTGATGTAAAAATAATTTTTAACATTTGGGTTTTATTTTAAATTTTAAGTTTTAAAATCTTTCCTTTCCTCATGTCCCCCCTCCCTGAGACTGTAAGCAAGTTGGTAGAAGTTATACATATGTAATTATGCAAAACATATTTCTACATTTGTCATATTGTTGAAAGAAAACAGACCAAAAAAAAGCAAAAACTGAAGTGAAAAATACCATACTCTAAAGGTATTTTATCAGAGATTCTTTCTGTAGAAAAATAATTTTCCCAGCTTTCTGTTTTTCTTCTGATTTTGGTTGAATTGGTTTAGTTTGTGCAAAACCATTTTTAAATATATGCAAAATAAACCATTTTACATCTCATAAGGCTCTCTATCTCTTGTTTGGTCATAAATTCTTCTCTTCTCCATAGATTTGAAATGTAAATTTCTCCTTGTTGTCCTAAGTTCTTTATGGTATCACCCCTTTATGTTTAAATAATTTACCCTTTTCACCTTACTTTGCTATATGATCTAAGATGTTGGTCTATGCCAAGTTGTACCATATTGTTTTGAGTTTTCCCAGGAATTTTTGTCAAATAGTGAGTTCTTGTCCCCTCTCCACAAAAAGGGTGAGTCTTTCAGTTTATCAAACATTAGATAACTATGGTCATTTAGCGCAGTGTTTTGAGTGCCTAATCTATTCCCCTGATCTATCACCCTATTTCTTAGCTAGTCCCAGATTGTTTTGATGATTACTCCTTTAAGAGATCTGGTACAGCTAAGCTACCTTCCTTCACATTTTTCTTCCTTGATTCCTTTGATATTATTGACATTTTGTTCTCCCAGATGAACTTTGGTATTGTTATTTTCTAGCTGTATAAAATAATTTTTAGTGGTTTGACTAGAATAGTATTAAATAACTAAATTAATTTAGGTAAAATTTTCATTTTTATTATATTGGCTCAGCCTACAGATGAGTAATTAATATGTTTTCCAATTGTTTATATCTGACTTTATTTGTATGAAAAGTGTTTTGTAATTGTGTTTTTATAGTTCCTAGGTTTGTCTTGGCAGGTAGACTCCCAAGTATTTTATATTGCCTACAGTTATTTTAAGTGGAATTTCTCTTTTAACTCTTGCTGGACTTTTTGTTAACATAAAGAAGTGTTGGTGATTACTGTGGGTTTACTTTATATCCTGCAACTTTGCCAAAGTTGTTAATTATTTCAACTAGTTTTTTAATTGATTGCTAGGATGCTCTAAGTACACCACCATACTATCTGCAAAGAGTGATGTTTTTGTTTCCTCATTACCTATTCCAATTTCTTCCATTTCTTTTTCTTCTCTTATTGCTATAGCTAACATTTCAAGTGTAATATTGAATAATACTGCTGATAATGGGTATCCTTGCTTCACCTCTGATCATATTGGTATGTTTTTCTTGATTACAAATAATGCTTGCTGAAGGCTTTAGGTCAGGTCTGAGCAACCTGTGGCCATTAGGCCATTAAAGGCCACTTGCAGCCCACCAAAGGATTTTGGGCAGCCCAGAAAAAAAATGTAGAAGAAAATGTCTTTGTATGTAGAGGAAATGTTTTGGTGGGCTGCAAGTGGCCTGTGAGCTGTAAGCAGTCCATGGGCCACAGGTTGTGCAGGCCTACTTTAGATAATTACTACTTATCATTTTTAAAGAAATCTCCATTTATTTCTATGCTTTATTGTCTTTTTAATGAGTGGGTATTATATTTTGTCACAAGCTTTTTCTTGGTCTGTTGAGATAATCATATTATTTCTGTTGGTTTTGTTAATTATGAAATAGTAGATTTCCTAGTATTGAGTGAGTGCTGAAATCCTGGTATAAGTCCCACCTAGTCATAGTGTATAGTCCTTGTGATACATTGCTGTAATCTCCTTTCTACAATATTCTTAAGTGTTTGTAATAATATTCATTAAGGAAATTGGTCTAGAGTTTTCATTCTCTGTTTTTGATCTTCCTAGTTTAGGTAACAGCACCATGTTTTTGTAGTAAAAGGAATTTGGTAAGACACCTTCTTAGCCTACTTTCCCAAAATGTTTATATAGTATTAGAATTTTATGGTATTGAAATTAGTTCCCAAGCTTCTTGTGCTAGGGATATAAGGGATCACTGTTGGCCTGCACAGAGGCTCAGTGCTGATCTATGCAGAAGAGTGCATGGTGTTGCTGCTGGACTGTCCCAGGGCTTGGGGCCTCACTGCTGGCTCACTTGCTGTGGCTTGCTGCTGGTTTGCCTGGATGCTGCTTGCACTTGATTAACTTTCCCGCTAACTTTTTGTCTAGAGTGGAAAACTGTTTCACCCCATTATTTTTTTTAATTCATTTTGAGAAGTTACTTTATAGCTGTGTGAAGGTGAATTTGGGAGAACTCAGGTAAGTTCCTGCTTTACTCTACCACTTTGCCTGAGGCCTCCCCAAAGTTCACATTTTATTCTTACTCCTACAACCATGGACTGATTTGGAAGGATTTTTGTCAGCTAAAATCTCCCTGGGACTTTATTTATATAAATTTCATCTTTATGACCAAAGAATATTGACCACACAAGAGTTTTACCTGAGTCCATAGGCTTTATTACATTAAGTGTCTAGGGAAGAAAGGAAATGGAAAATATTGGCAGAAGAGACAGTCATGAGTGGTGAAAGGAACAACAATTCATGTTGAAGAACACAGAAAGGGAAGAATATGAGGAATGCTGGGCATTTCACAGTTCCATGTTATGAGAATACATGGACATAGGTCTTGAATACTATAGAACTCTAAGGTCTTTAGCACTTATAATCAAGCAGACAATGTAAGGACTCACATGAAGGTTGTAGAGAGTACATTTTCCCGTGTAATGTCAGAGTGATAATATGATGTTGGGGACAGAGGGACAGATGCTGTCCTGAGAAATCTGGAAGGATCTACCAGAGTTCCCTGAGTTTAGTCCAAATGATGAATTCATCAACATTAGCACCACAGGATGGCAAGTCATCATAAACAGGCAGATTGAACTCGTATCTGTGGTACAATTTTCTATTTCAGATGAATGATTTCATAAAGATACCTCTCCCCTGAGAAGTGAGAGGTTAACATGACTAATAATAATGCTAATACTTAACATTTATATAGCATTTTAAATTTATCAAAGCATCTTACACATTTTATCTATTGTGACCTTGACAAAAATCCTTTGAGGTAGGTATTAACAAATTATCCCCATTTTACAAATGATGATACTGAGGTAGACTGAGGTTAAGTGAATTGTCCAACCTTATATAACAACTAAGCATTTGAGGCAGAATTGGAACTGTGGTCTTCTTGACTACAAGGTCCAGAACTCTATCTGCTACATCACCTAACTATATAGTATCAGGATATTATTGGACTAGAAGCTTTATTCTATCCCACAGAGCCAAAGAGTACTTGGTGACTTGAGAGTCACTGACAATTAGAACAAAGGGGCTACAAGCTGGAAAGCAGGCAGCAAGGAAGGCAGAGATGTGAACCAGCCAGAAAGTCAATTTTCCAAACTCCATATACAATGTTAAAATAGAATTCAAGGAGTAAAAAAATACAAACATGCTGACCAACAGCACTATGGTTTGGATGGCTCTGGTCTCAGGGGAGCTACCAAGTGTGAGATTATTGCCATGAATATACTGGATTCTCTGGTGGTGTCTGTACAAGAAAAAAGTCATATATATACTGGTCCCCACCATGATTCCTACACATAAAACATCAGGAAGGGAAATTATAAATACATATAGTGCAACATTAAATGAAACATCAATTGTAGCAGAACAATAAATTAAATCATTTCTTTCAGTGATATTTTTGCTTCCCATTGGGCCTTTGAAGTATGAAAGAACAAAATAATTTGTCAGCAGATGAAAAGTCCAGCACAAGAAACAGAAGGGGATAATGTACTTTGGGGCTCTGGCTTTGAGCTCTGCCAACTTGGAGCTTCTAGGACTTAAAGTGATGACTTGGAAGCCACTCAGGAGGCAGGTAATGCTGAGAGAGAGGCCCCGAGCCACTCGGTGAAGGTAAAACACAAGTTTACATCCCACATCATCCAAGAGATTGTTGAGCCCCATAACAGCCATTGCCTGAGTAATCCCTTTGGAGAGAAGCACCAAGTTATTGACAAAGGCCAAGTGAAAGAGAAGCAAGTCTATGGGCCTCAACCTGGGACCAATGAAGAAGGTGAGGGTATAAAGGCCCAGGAGGAAGGAGTTTCCCAGGGCCCCAAATCCAGTCTGAAACAGAAAAAGGAGCCCCAATGCCATGTCATTAGATGTTATTTTTGTTATTGTTGCTGGGAGGTAAATAGCTGTCAAAACCAGTGGATTCTTGCTTGTTCAGAAGCACAAGGAGTAGAAGATGTTTCCTGAGAGGATGAATATACTTCACTTGTCCAATATAAGTCACCATGAACCATTCATTCAATCTAAAAGAATATGAGAATATCTTTTTTAGTGTTTCCTGATGGACCATTGAGAAGATAGTATTGATTAGAAAGTTTCTAATGTCTTTTTTTGTCCCTTATTTCTGGAAGATTCTTCTTTGAAACATTTATAGGTTGATTTCTTATTTGGTGAAATGGTTAAATAATATAATCCCTATAAGGTGCCAGTAGCAACCTTAATACCTAGAAGGCATCTAGTACTTAGGAACCAGTACCTAGAAGGTATCTGTGATAGAGAAAATAATTGGTTGCATATATGATGTCATGAATGCTAACCCTATCATATTTTAGGTTTCATAGTCCTATATCTAATGAGGTTCAGGATTGTGTCTTTAAGCACAATGGCAGTCACTAGAATTATTTGCTCAGTAATATTACATATTGTTGTATACCTCTACAGGTGATAGAGACTAGAAGAATCTGGTATTTGCAATCAATCCCAGCACTCTCTCTGTCTCTCTGTCTCTCTTTCTCTCTCTCTCTCTCTCTCTCTGTCTGTCTCTTTCTCCCTTCCTCATGCTTAATGCTAAATTGGTTATTTTTAGTATTTGTTCTTTATGATACAGCTTGAAATATGGTATTGATATTTTTCCTCTCTTCTCACATTATTTTTTTATTGTCTCTTTTGAGATTCTTGACCTTTTACTCATTCACATTATTTTCACTACTCTTTTTTCTAGCTATAAAATATATATTTTGGTAGTATTATTGATACGGAACTGAATAAGTAAATTAATATAGGTAGTATTGTCATTTTTATTTTACTCACTCTACATATTCATGATAATTAATGTTTCTCCAATGACTTCATTTTGTTTTGATTTCTTCTACAGGTGTTTCATTGTCAGATTCCTGCAGTTCATTCATGCATGTTCATAGACATACTTCTAAATATTTTGTGATTTTTAACTTCTAAAGTTATTTTAAGTGGAATTTCTCTTCCTAGTTCTTTCCACATTCCCCATCTAGTTCTATTGTTCACTCTGCCAACATTCTTACTGTTGAAATTCCATCATTAGTTTGGGTTTTCTCCTATTGGATCATCCCTACCCAATGACAGCCCTCAAGTTCCTTATTGGTACTTTACTTTTATCAATGGCCAGAAGCTATCTGTGCTTCGTCCACATCCCAACTTGTGCTTGAGACTCTTGAGACATTGCCACCATGCTCCCACATGGGTAACCAGCCCTCATTTTCTATTTCCTTTTATATGTTGTCATCTCTTTAGAACATAAATCCATTGAAGACAGAGACTTCCTTTTTGCTTGAATTTGTGTCCCAAGCACTATTGCACATTTCTGGTATGTAGTAAGCACTTCAATATGTACTGCCTTGTTGCCTGCCAAATTTAGTTTGTAATATGCAGGAATGCTAAAGATTTGTGTAAATTTATTTTGTATCCTGCAATTTATTAAATTTATTGGTTATTTCAATTAATTTTGTTGACTCTTCAGGACATCCTAAAGAAATATTATCATCTGTAAAAGTGATATTTTAAAAAGGTCTCTGCTTGTGCTTATTCTTTCAATTCTTTATTTCTCATCTTATTACTATAGCTGGCATTTGTAGCAGAATGTTAAATAGTAGTGGTAATTATGGGTATCTTTGTTTTACTCTTGATCTTATTGGAAAGATCTCTAACTGATATATATATATAATATATATATGTATATATATTATATATATATAATGGTTGCTCTTAGATTTAGGTAGATGATATTCACTACATTGAGGAAAAGTCCATTTTTCACTGTTTTTATATTTTTAATAGTTATTGGTGTTATATTTTCTCAGATGCCCTTTTAGCATCTATATTTATAATCATATTTTATTATTTGTAAGATTAACATTATTTATTATACTTATAGTTTCCATTATGTTGAACCAAAACTGAATTCTTGGTATAAACATAGCCTGATCATAGGAGATAATTTAATACATTGCTGTTACCTACTTGTTAAGTTTTACTAATTGTTTGTGTCAGTGTTCATTAGGGATATTGCTCTGTACTTCCTTTCTCTGTTTTTCCTGCTTTTTAATTATGAATATCACATCTATTCAGACTTCCAGGAGCCAAGATATTGGAGTAACCTGTAAATCACTGTACATCTCCTATATTGACCTCTGAAAAACCAGAAAATAGCACCCCAGGAAAAATCTTGGAACAGTGGAGCCAGTGGAAAGATAGGTGGAGAAGCCCTTTACCCCAGAAAAATTGGAAGATTGACAAGGTCTGTCTCGCTCAGGTAAAAGGAGAGTATATTTCAGGACAAGAAGCATCCTAGCAAGCGAGCAACAAGCCCCACCTCAGCAAACAAGTGTGAAATCCAGAGCCCCAGGTTGGTGGAGCAGGCAAATACCAACACCAAGACCCCACATGTACCTTAGCATAGTCAGGAGAACTGGCAGGCTCCAGCTCAGAGAACTACCACATGCTCTGGAAAAGCCCTGGATGAGCAGGTGTCCTCCACCAACCAGATCTCCCTCTCTGGTGCAGCCCCAGGGAGGCAGGTATTGTCCAAGTGACCAAAACTCCACATGCTTCAGGGTAGCACCAGTGGAATTTAGAAAAACTCCACCTGGCCTCAGCACATGGCAGGCACCACCACTAGAACCCCAGCTCTGCACCAAGAAACCTGCCAGACCCAGCTGCCAGCTCCTGAGACCTGAGCACACAAACCCAGTAACCAGGCTCATAGCCCCCAGCACAAGAAGCTTGGGACAGTGCCCCTCGGGTTCCAACAGGAGAGATTGACTTTAAGTGACAGAAAGTAGGTGAGCAAGACAAGCAAAAAACAAAAACTAACATTGACCATAGACAATTTCTATGGGGACAGAGAAGATCAAAACACAAACTCAGAAGAGGACAATATTGTCAATATATCTATATCTGAAACCTCAAAGAGGAATATGAATTGGTCTCAAGCCCAAAAATCCTTCTTGGAAGAGCTGAAGAAGAATTTTGAAAGTCAAATAAGAGAAGTAGAAGAAAAATTGGGAAAGGAAATGAGAGGTATGCAAGAGAGAGTCAACAGCTTGGAAAAGGAAGGACAAAAATTGACTGAAGAGAATTCCACTTCCAGGAAACAAGATGGCAAAGTAAGAAGTAAGTTGCTGTCACCCTCCCTTGTTGACTTCTGAAAGCCCAGAAAATATCACCACAGGAAAAACCTTGGGATAGCTGAACCAGCAGAAAGACAGGGTGCAGCAGTCCTGTAGCCCAGGAAGCTTGGGGGATTAACAGGAAAGGCCTCTCTTGCTTTGGGGGAAGGAGAGCAGTACAGAACAGGAGTTGTCCAAGCAAGCTAGTGAAAGGCCCCACCTTAGCATACCAAAAGGAGATTCTGAACCCCAGGTGGTGCAGCAGGCAAGCACCAACACCAGGACCCCTGAGTGCCTCAGTATGGACAGGGGAACCAGTGGAAACTGGCTCTGAAAACCACCATGTGCCATGTGCTGTGGCATTCTCCAGCACCCAAGTCTCTCTGCACCTCAGCAAAACTCTGGGAAGTGCATTAAATGGATCTAAGTAAGTGGATTAATCAATCTAATTAAGAAATTTCACTGGGAGAAAAGCAAAGGAGGAGGCAGACAAGGGTAAATTATATTACAGGAAAAGGCACAAAAACCTATTAGAGTGGAAGGAAAGAAGAGAGGGAGATGAGCATTGTTTGAACCTTACTATCATCAGATTTGGCTCAAGGAAAGAATAACATCATCAGTTATGTATAGAAATCTAACTTGCCCTATAGGAAGTAGGAATGAAAAGGGGAAAGAAAAAGGCCCTGAAGAAGCAGTAAGGGTAAAGAGGAAGAAATGGGAAAGGGCTAATAGAAGGGAGAAGGGACTGAAGGAGGTGGTGGTCAAAAGCAAAACACTAGTGAGGAGGGAAAATGAGAAAGGAGAAAGAAAAGAATAAATGGGGGGGAAGGATAGAGAAAGACACAGGTAGTAATCATAATAGCAAATGTGAATGGGATGAACTATCCCATAAAATGGAAGCAGATATCAGAATGGATTAAAAACCATAATCCTACAATATGTTGTTTATAAGAAACACATTTGAAACAGAGGGACACACACTGGAGTAGAATATATTATTCTTCAGTGGAAGTAAAAAAAAAAGTGGGGATTAGCAATCCTGATCTCAGACAAAGCAAAAGCAAAAATAGATTTTATTAAAAGAGATAAAGAAGGAAATTACATCCTGCTAAAAAGCACCAGAGACAATGAAGCAATACCATTATTAAACATATATGCATCAAGTGATATAGCATCCAAATTCTTAGAAGAGAAATTCAGGGAGTTACAGGAAGAAATAGACAGCAAAACTATAGTAGTGGGGGACCTCAACCTCCCCTTCTCAGAACTAGATAAATCCAACCACAAAATAAACAAGAAAGAAGTTAAGGTGAATAGAAATTTAGAAATGAAAGTTAGATATTGTAGACCTTTGGATAGAATTGAATGAGGATAGAAAGGTATACTTTTTTTCTCAACAATACATGTCACTTACACAAAAACTGACCATGTACTAGGTGAGAAAAACCTCACAATCTAATGCAGAAAGGCAGAAATATTGAATGCTTCCTTTTCAGATCATGATGCAATAAAAATTATATACAATAAAGGGCCATAGAAAAACAGACTAAAAATCAATTGGAAACTAAATAATCGAATCCTAAAGAATGAATGGGTCAAACAACAAATCATAGAAACAATCAATAACTTCATTCAAGAGAATGAAAATAATGAGGCAACATACCAAAACTAATAGGATGCAGTGAAAACAGTTTTTTGGCGAAGTTTTACATCTCTAAATGCTTACATGAATAAAGTAGAAAAAGAGGAGATCAATGAATTGGGTGTGCAACTAAAAAAAAAAAACTAGAGAAAGAACAAATTAAAAATCCTCAATTAAATGGCAAATTAGGAATACTGAAAAGGAGAGAGTAATAAAACTGAAATTAAGAAAACGAACTAACAAATAAAAATAAGAGCTGGTTTTATGAAAAAAAAAACAGAAAATAAATAAAACCGCGTAAATTTGATTAAAAAAAAGAAAGAAGAAAACCAAAATACTACTATCAAAAATGAAAAGGGTGAATCCACCACCAAAGAAGAGGAAATTATAACAATAATTAGGAATTATTTTGCCCAACTGTATGACAATAAAATTGACAATGTTAGTGAAATGGATGAATATTTACAAAAATATAAATTGCCAGGATTAACAGAAGAGGGAGTAAAATACTTAATTAACCCTATCTCAGAAAAAATAAATTGAACAAGACATTGATGAACTCCCTAGGAAAACATCTCCAGGGTCACATGGATTTACAAGCAAATTCTATCAAACATTTAAAGCACAATTAATTCCAAGACCATCTAGACTCTTTGGGAAAATAGGTGAAGAAGAAGTCTTACCAAATTCTTTTTTTGTATACAAATATAGTGCTGATAACTAAACTGGGAACAGTCAAAACAGAGAAAGAAAATTATAGACCAATTTCTGTAATGAATATAGATGCAGAAATTTTAAATAAAATATTAGCAAATACATTACAACAACATATCACAAGAATAATACACCATGACCAGGTAGGATTTGTACCAGTAATGCAGAACTGGTTCAATATTAGGAAAACTATCAGCATAATTGGTCATATCAACAATAAAACTAATGAAAACCACATGATCATCTCAATAGATGCAGAAAAAGCTTTTGACAAAATACAACACACATTCCTATTGAAAACACTAGAAAGTATAGGAATGAATGGAATCTTCCTTAAAATGATACATATCATCTACCTAAAACCTTCAGCAAGCATCATATGTAATGGGGATAAGCTAGAAGCATTTACAATAAGATTGGGGGTGAAACAAGGATGTTCATTATCACCACTGTTGTTCAATATGATACTGGGGATGCTAGCTTTATCAATAAGAGAAGAAAAGGAAATTGAAGATATTAGAATAGGCAAAGCAGAAACAATTCTATCACTCTTTGTAGATAACGTGATGTTATACTTAGAAAATCCTAGAGAATCAAAAAAAAACCACTTGAAATAATAAATGACTTTAGCAAAGTTTCAGGCTATAAAATAAACCCACATAAATCATAGGTATTTCTATATATTACCAACAAAACCCAACAGCAAGAGATAGAAAGAGAAATTCCATTTAAAGTTACTATAGACATTATAAAGTATTTAGGAGTCTACCTCCCAAAACAAACCCAAGAACTATATTAACACAACTACAAAACACTTTTCACACAAATAAAGTCAGATCTAAATAATTGGAAAAACATCAGTTGTTCATGGGTAGGCCGAGCTAATATAATAAAAATGAGAATTCTACGTAAGCTAACTTACTTATTCAGTGCATGTCAATCAAACTACCAAAAAAGTATTTTGTAGAGGTAGAAAAAATAAAAAAGATTCATTTGGAATAATAAAAGGCCCAGAATATCAAGGGAACTAATGAAAAGAAATGCAAGGGAAGGTGGCCCTAGCCATTCCAGATCTTAAATTATATTATAAAGCTGCAATCATCAAAACTACTTGGTACTGGCTAAGAAATAGAGTGGTGGATCACTGAGATTAGGTTAGGTATGCAAGACACAGTAGCCAATGACTATAGTAATCTACTGTTTGATAAACCCTAAAGACCCCAGTTTCTGGGATGAGAACACACTTTTTGACAAAAACTGCTAGAAAAACTGGAAAAAAGTATGGCAGAAACTAGGCATAGATCAAAATCTCACACCATATACCAAAATAAAGCCAAAATGGGTTCATGATTTAGGTATAAAGGCTGATACTGTAAGCAAACTGAGAGAGCAAGGAATAGTTTACCTATCAGATTTATGGAGAACAGAAGCAGTCATGATAAAAACAGGAGATAGAGAACATTATGAAAAGCAAAATGGATAACTTTGATTACATTAAATTGAAAAGGTTTTGCAAAACAAAGCCAATGCAACCAAGATTAAAAGCAAGGTAGAAAATTGGGAAAGAATTTTTACAACTAGTCTCTCTGATAAAGGCCTCATTTCTAAAATACATAGAGAATTAAGTCAAATTTATAAGAATATAAGCCATTCCCCAATTGATAAATGGTGAAAGGATACGAACATGCAGTTCTCAGTGAAGAAATTAAAACCATCTATAGTCATATGAAAAAATGCCCTAAATCGCTATTGATTAGAGAAATGCAAATCCAAACAACTCTGAGATACCACATCACACCTATCAGATTGGCCAACATGACAAAATAGGAAAATGATAAATGTTGGAGAAGATATGGGAAAATTGGAACACTAATGCATTGTTAGTGGAGTTGGGAAATGATCCAACCATTTTGGAGAGCAATTTGACCCAGCAATACCATTTCTAGGGCTATATCCCAGAGAGATCATACAAATGGGAAAAGGACCCACATGTACAAAAATATTTATAGCAGCTCTTTTTGTGGTGGCAAAAAAATTGGAAATTGAGAGTATGCCTATCAATTGGGAAATGGTTGAACAAGATGTGGTATATGAATGTAATGGAATACTATTTTGCTGTAAGAAATGATGAACAGGCTGACTTCAGAAAAACCTGGAAAGACTTGTATGGTTTGATGCTGAGTGAGGTGAGCAGAACCAGGAGAATGTTGTACACAGTAACAGTCACTCTGTGCGATGA